GCGTTCAACGTCAGACTTGATGTTGTTGAGCCATGTCTTTATTTGACCGTCATATTGGTATCTCCAGTTTGCACTACGAGAAGGATTCGCGGCCAATCTGCAGAGGTCCGTCGATGGCAGGAGGTCCGTCGCGCAGGACGAGACCAAACCATTGCAATCGGAGACGCTAGATGTATGATGCTAGACTGAGTAGTTAGAAACATCTGCGATGTAGCTCGGCATTGGGAATTCGGTCGTGCCAGAGAACTCTTAAGAGGCGTCGAAGACACCAACAGTCAAAGACTTCGAGCGATAGGATGTCTGCCTTTCTCACTGGCCATGTTTCGCAGACACATACTAACCGAACCGAAATCCAACCCTCGGCCTCCCCGCTGGTGGTTCGCGGGCAAAGTAGGTATACCCACGGCTAAAAGAGGGCAATGGCAGGTAACACCAGGGACGTCATCTGTAACAAAATTCCCAAGGAACTTCACTTCTTGCCCCTGCATTACCATTTTGTAGAGCATACGGCGGACGTCATTGGATGCGACTGTTGGGACTTCAAAGTCAGACCTCTTCTTAAGCTCGATGGTCAGCCCGCAATCCTCCCCGTTTCTGTGAAGGAATTTTATTCCCCTCTAGCCCATGCAATGTAACAGTGTTCGGTTTTACTGCGGAGATAGGCCATCTAGTTTCCCTGAATAACGTAGAAATGTCCGCAAAGTATTCTTTACGGACTCTGAGTGCACGCATGCCTCCAACAACCGCTTTGGCTGAATGACCTAATCATAATGCAGCGACGGCAAGTAAACTTGGTTTATGGCAATTAGCAATCACTATAGCAGGGGACCAAGAGCTTTGTAGTATGTTTTAAGGCAGTCGGTGTGGCAGATATCCACCTAACGCGTTATCGTACTTCTACCGCCGCTGATCAGCGACTGATTATTAGCCAGACTCAAGAGCCTGATTACGTCGCAGATAACTGCCACTGAAGGCCATTCCACTATCCGTCTCCGATCCACAAGTTCAACATCAAACGCCTATCGCATTCCAGCTGTCAACGGACCTTACGCTGGCGCATCGACCCCATTAGACATAATGCCATTACAATACGAATACTAAACTTACTTAATCAGCAGACACCTCCGATCACCAGCAGCGAGCATACTTGAATCGATTATTTACTTTTCTGTTATGTTGGAGGGTACCGACTGACAATTAAAAATGGTAAAATTTTTCGGCTGGTATCATGTTAACCTATTGCTCTTACCAAATTCTACCCTACTAACCAGTGCTCTACTGGTCATTCTAGTTCTGTGCCCAACTTTAAGGCACATTTCCTGATTGCTTCATCTCAATCGAGCAAGCATGATTACAACAGCTAGCCATCACAATGGCAAAGCCAAATTTTTACCCTTCCTGACTGAACACAGGTGTGAATCCTCTAAAAAAAACGAAAAGTAATGTTGACCATCTTCGAACCTTGCACAACCGAAGTAACGAAGACAGCAGGATGTCAACTACGGTTGAATACGTCAAACATCGACACTGGCTCCACAACATGTACCTGCATACACGTTAGCTGTATAAACAATAACGCGCAAATAAAATAAAGCCGTATCGCTGCATTTCCGTAAGGCTGAAGTAAAGTAACTGACTGGCTATTGCGGTCACTGGCTCACCAGGGCTAAGCTCCTGCGCAATTCAGATAGAGCACACCAAACTGACGAAGAAGTAGCGGATCCCGAAAGCCTGGATCAAACAGGGGATGTGCGTCCCTAATCGGCCATGTACAATATGCGAGGTGGCCAAAAGACTTCCTAGTGGAGACCAACGCTGGCACTTATGAACAGG